GGTGACCAGGCTCGGTAGGAGGCATTAGTGTTAATGGATACAGAGTTCAGTTCCACATTGAGATGAAAGTTCTGGAAACTCCTGATTACAGATTAGTTGCAAACACTTAAATGCACTAATGCCCACTGAGTCAGTTACACTTCAAATGCTTAAGTTTTTTACATCTCTCCCCATAGCGAAAGGCAAAAAAAAGAAAAATGCTTAAGTTCTTATGTTATGGTATATTTACCACAATATAAAAAAAAAAGATATCCAAGCAGGAATACATGAAGGATGGAACCAAGGAAAAAAAGAATATAGAGTTTTTTACTACAAAAAAAAAGAGGAGGAGAGACGGAGACAGAAATGACTTTGTGCTGTGTGTGTGTGTGTGTGTGTTGTGTGGTTCAATCCAGCAACTTCCAGTTGTCTCATTCAAAAAGCTGTCCAGTGAGCCTAGGAGCACAGCGCTTGAGAGGGTGAGGCTTCTGCTCTCCCATCGCTTACATCTTTACAGGATGTTAAATGCAGGAAACAGGTTTAATATTAATTATGTTCTTTGAACAGAGTTCTCACTCTGTGTGCCGGCTAGGTGACGTGCCGTGGCTCAGCCTCCGCTCACAGAGCCTCCAAGCTCTGGGCTCAAGGCGATCCTTCCTGCCTCCGAGCCTCCCGACGTAGCTTGGGCTAAGGCTGCATGCACCGTGCCCCGCGCTAATGTTTTTATTTATTTTTAAAGTTTTATATATTATTTTTTACTTTTTTTCCCAGCACACAAAAGCTTTACAACCACCGGCTATTTTTCTATTATTTTAGGTTGGCCAATTAATTCTTTATATTTTTAGTGAGAGAGGTTGAGGGGGGTCCTCACTCTGCTCAGGCTGGCTTCGAACCTCCTGACACTTGACGATCTCCGCGCCTCGGCCTCCCCAGCGAGAGTCTAGGATTACAGGCGTGAGCACACCTCGCGCCTGATTAGATTGTACCCTGTCTTAATTTTAAATTTAAATCGCCACACGTGGCCAGTGGCTACCGTCTGGACCACATGATCCTAGAGCCTGGGCTGGTGACAGGTTTGCACCTGGCTCTGAATTCCCGAAATTTCTTGCATCTCCAGAATTGAGGCTTATTGTATATGCAATGCCCTAGCCTTTCATGCACGTGGACATGCATGCTACGCATTGGGACAAGAAGGAAATGGGTGAGCAAGGAGCTACTCGGAAGAGTGTCTGTTCCAACCTCAATTCTGGGTAAAGCTTCCCTTAGGGCCTCTGCCTGGAAAAGAGGTAGACCCTTCCAGCAATCATGTCCAAGTCCCACTATCTGATCCTTTCTCCGCTTTCTCTTACTTTCTCATCCTCCACCTGATCAGCCCGTGGAAGGTGAAATTCAGACCTCTCGCTGCATGGGTTAAACAAAACCTACAGGGGCAGATCGTGCAAGAATTCAGATTGCATGAGAGGTAGCATTAGTGACAGGGACAGGCGTGATCCCATGAGTCTGATCAGTTTCTTTTACATGTAAAACACGGAGTGCCGGGCGAGGTGGCGCGCGCCTGTCATCCTGGCACTCTGGGAGGCCGACGGCGAGATCGCTCAAGGGTCAGGATGTTCGCAGAACCAGGCCTGAGGTGAGCAATGAGCGAGGACCCCCGCTCTACTATAATAGAAATTAATGTGGCCAGTTAAAATGAATATATAAGACGGAAAAATCTATCCAGGGCTGGTGGCAACATGCCTGTAGTCCGCACTACGCTGGGAGGCTGAGGCAGGAGGATCACTTGAGCCCAGAAGGTTGGATGGTTCTTGAGTGACGCTAACCCATGGCACTCAGCCCAGGCAACAGGAATGCACTCTGTCAAAAAAAAACCCAAAAAAACCAAACAAACATGCAGCCGTTTTGCGCCATCAGGTGAATCTCAAAGTCACATCCTGTCCTCATTTTGTGGGGATCATGCTCAGTAAAAAGAAAGAAAGAAATAGCCACCTGGCCGGGCACCGGCTGGTCACGCCTGTCAATCTAGCACTCTGGAGTCGCCAAGGTGGGACGATCGCTCAAGGTCAGGAAGTTCGGACCAGCTGAGCGAAGAGTGAACCCCGTCTCTACTACTAAGAAAGAAATTAATTGGTAAGCTAAAAACATATAGAAAAATTAGCCGGGCGTCCGGTGGTGCGATGCCTGTAGTCCCAGCCTACCCGGGAGCGACTGAGGCAGAGGATGCTTGAACCAAGGAGTTGGAGTTGCTCGTGAGCGAGGCTGACGCCACGGCACTCACTCTAGCACTGGGCCCAACAAGCAAGACTCTTCGGGGGGAAGAATCGCCGGTGCGATATACAAACAAACGCACTAAGAGTGTAAACATCTTGCGGGAGGATGGACACGATTGGCTCTGACTGGGAGGGGGGGAGGGAGGCGATGGCAATATATCATAACTTTTTTTGTTCTTAATCATGCTTTAGCACAGTCAACTTACTATATAAACCTTAGATACTGCTGTACCCTCATAATACGCTAAAATAAATTAAAAAAACATAAAAAAGAACATAGCACTAAAATTCTAAGAACAGTGAAATGTACAAGATTACCTTATCCAGACAAAAAAACGTGGTGACGGCAGCTCATGTTGTTGAAAAACTCTATTTGCAAGTAGGCCAGATGCTCGAAGGTTGGGAAGGTATTGTCGATCGTCCAAAAACTGTACTAGCATCTCCACACTGGATGATCTGTAGATGTTAATTCCTATAGCTAACACTGACAGCTGGAAAACAAAAGATTTGTATTATTTTTTTTTTACAGTGTTTTAGGAATATATAACTCACCCAATGTTGTCAGTGTTCTTTTATTCCCATAAGAATAATGCATTTTTCTGTATTTTACCAGCTGATTCTAGTGGCAGATGGTTTGCTGTGACCATGCCAATGCTTCCAAAAAGTCAACCAGATTTTTAAGAGTGGGATGAGGGCACCACTAATAATTCCCTTGAGGAAGGCTAATAGAAAAAAGAATGCTAACAGGGCAACCCATCGCTTTATTGGAGCGCTCCAGAGGGTCATTTCTGCTTGTAAGGACGGTGGGTAAGGATGGACAGAGATAATACACAGTACCAGCTAGCGCGGCAGTCGAAACCTTCTAAGGCATGCAAAACATTAGGCATTTTTAAGATGCCTTAAATGTATACCAGGACTAATAGAAGAAGGTTATTTGTTATTGGCTAAAGGCAGAAAAGCTTGTAAAAATTCACCTTTACACCTCTTGGGCCTCTGGAGGAGTGAAGGATGATGACACTTATTTATAATTGATTTAAGATGATGGGGAAAAATCTTATCATTATCACCAAGTCCAGGGAAGGCCAAAGGGTCACAAGGTCCGCGTAGGGCCGGGCGCGGTGGCTCACGCCTGTCATCCGCCAGCACTATGGGAGGCCGAGGCGGGAGGAGTACGCTCGAGGTCAGGAGTTCGAAACCAGCCTGACAAGTGAGCAAGAGCGAGACCCCGTCTCTACTAAAAATGAGAAAGAAATGTAATGAGACCGACCCTAAAATATATAAAAAAGAATGAGCCGGCATGGTGGCACATGCCTGTAGTCCCAGGCTACTCGGAGGCCTGAGGCACGGAGCGATCGCCTTGAGCCGGCAGGAGATTGAGGTTGCTGGAGGCGAGGTTGATGCCACGGCGCTGCACTCTAGCCTGGTCAGAACAAGAGTGAGACTCGTGTCTCAAAAAACCGCCGCCAAAAAACCCCATCTAAATTATATTTACAAATGTATTTTTTATAATTTTTTCCGTCATAGTTTTTTTTTTTTTTAGTAAGAGGTTGATATAATGAAAGGAACTTTTTCTGATGGTTTTAGTCCAGCCCACAAAAAAAAAGGGATAAAATATAAAATAAAAATTTAAACTTAAAAAAAGAAGAAGGAAAAGAAAGGAACTTTTATTTTTATTTATTTATTTAATTTTGGAGACAGAATCTCACTCTGTTGCCCAGACTAGAGTGCTGTGGCGTCAGCCTCGCTCACAGCAACCTCTGACTCCTGGTCTCAAGCGATCCTCCTGCCTCAGCCTCCCCCGAGTGGCTGAGACTACAGGCATGCGCCACCATGCCCGGCTAAGTTTTTTTTTCTATATATTTTTAATCGGCCAATTAATTTCTTTCTATTTTTTAGCAGAGACTGGGGTCTTGCTCTTGCTCAGGCTGGTTTTGAACTCCTGACCTCGATCGATCCTCCCGTCTCGGCCTCCCAGAGTGCTAGGATGACAGGTGTGAGCCACCGCACCCGGCCAAGGAGAAAATAATTAATAACACAGAAGCTGATATAATCGAAGGGAACTTTTGGATACTTTTTGGGGACTTTCAAGATCCACAATGCTGAGGAGGTTACAGACTGCACTTAACATGCTTTAGCACAGAGTAGGCGACTGGGTGTGGTTCTTAAACCTACCACGATGATCACAACATCCAGACAATTCCAGAAACTCTTGAAATAGCGTAGTTTGTGAATGCGAATTTCCAGTATTTCTTCCACCATGTAGTAAAGGATGAAGAAACAAAAGATGACCTCGCAGGCTGCCAGGAAGAAATCAAAGGTTGTCACGTAACGCATCAGCTTCATGGGCTGAATCTGCCAAGACGGGATCACCCCACCGGTGGCTGGGAACTCAGCCAGTAACCTGGGGGGCAATAACAATAATTCAAACAACAACAACGACGACTCGTGGATGGAGCTATTCCCTCCCTGCACTATAATGTAATAAAACCGCTTCCGTGAGTCGCCCTAACCCAGTGACAAAACATTTTTTATCACAGTTCATAACTCCATCCTTGTGGAATTTTGTGCTACAAAAGGAATACACCTTTCCAAGGTCTGTCAGCCCCAAAGAAATTCCTTCCTCCTGTCTCCCCTCTACTTTTCTGGCATTTATACTGCTTGAAATGTTGTTAAAAAAATTTTTTTAAAACTTAAAAGTGAATCCACAAACAAGCCCTTCTCTAGAACTTCTACTAAATCCAAGTCCTTGTCTTGGGCAATATTAAGAACATAAAGAAATAGGCCAAGCACGGTGGCTCACGCTTG